TTTGCGGCTTCTCATCGATTTACGAGCCATTTTCTCTGCCACTTCATATCTACCCTGCAATTCTGCATACCACCCACCATTATATAACAGCGTTGCCCATGCCTCCTCCAATTTGCTCTCCACTGGTCGGTAGTCTACGGCCTTCTCAACGTGTGGAAAGAGACGCTGACATGTCGCCCAGTTACTGTAGCCTCCGGGTGGGAATAGCGCGGCTATCCGTGACACAAACTGATGCTTGAATTCCTCCTCCCTCCCACAAGCCTTCAGCCACGTCCTCGTCGACAGCTGTACGAGGCCGTGCATCTCGAACGTCTCTCCGCTTTCGCTTACAGTCACGAGACAAAAGTCTGTTAGCATTGCTATATTGTCTTCGAATCCGCTGTCCGTCTCGTCGTTCTCTCTGTCGTCATCGCTACTGTTGGATCCCAAATCATGCTGTACGTCGGACCCTCTCTCCTGTATTGCTTCGTCCATGTGAGGCGGCCTTAGCAACGACTCTGGAATGCCCTGTCGGTCGAAGAAGCTCATCAGGGAGAGAAGATCTGCCGCCGAAGCTCTCTTAGAGCGGATATGTTCAAAGGATATCCGCCAGGTGGTAAGGATTGCACTTGAAGCCCCTCCCTCTCGCCGAAACTCGCCCGCGTCATGACTTAGAAGCCGGGCTCTCTTGCTTTCGCCCTTGTGGAACTCGGCCAAATACTTTTTGACCGAGCTCCGTGGCGACATTCTCTGAATATAGGCCGCCGCCTGGCTGATAGCTAGTGGAACGTATTCCAGCGCCCGTACAAGCTCCTCTGCCGAATCCTTGTCCGAGAGCAAGCTTAATTTCCTTTCCAGCAGCAACAGAGCATCACCCTCCGCCATTGGCCCGATCTCGATTGTATTCTTGTACCCCCCTACTAGCCTACAAGCTAGATTTTTATTGCGTGTTGTGACGAGAAGAGACCCATTTGGGCTCTGCGGAAGATAGTCAGCTAGCGGACGTCGTTCAGGGTTACTGCCAGCGCCGAAGAATACGTCGACGTCATCGGCACTGTCGAGGATTACGATCCATCGGCGGTCTCGCTCGTTCGACAACCAGCTATACACAAGCTGCGGTACATCGGCCTTCGGCTGCCTCCAGCTTGGTAGCTTTACGGCATCAGCGATTGCCTTGAACCCTTCCTCGACGCGTGCTTGTGTGCCGGCATGGACCCAGAACACCCATCTGTCAGGCTCCTTTGCTGCTGTTCGGTGCGCGTATTCGATAACCAGTTGCGACTTGCCCACACCACCGAGGCCCACGAGGGCCACACGGCCGGCCGGCTCCGAACATCGTTGGTTGATCTGGTCGAGAATGTCTCCACGGTTGACAAAATCAAGGTCGCGGGAGAAAGGAATGGTCGCGAACGGCGGCGGCGGCGTTTCCAATCGCTCTAAAATTGTCAGCGGGGTGTTCCTCGGCGCAAGCAGTGCTAATCTTACCCGGTGGCAGGTGAAATTCCGCGTTGATCGGTGCATAGTTCTGTCCCACTTGGAAACCCTGGTTAAGCGGTCCAAAAGACGCGGATGGAAATTGACCCATTCCTGGTGTGAGGGTTACTCCTCCAGCCGACTGATTGATCTGGCCACCGCCCGGCCCTGCATTCAAAGATTGCGAAGAGTCATAAACCCTAGCAGAAGCGACATATCTCTCCATGACCGCCTTCGCTACTGACGCCGCGGTTGCCGCAGCATAA